GATACATTTATAATTCCTTTGTAATAGTATGTATTTTTTTACAAAAGCAACAAAATGAAACAAAAATAATAAAGCTATGAAATAAAATATTGATTTTCATATATTACCTTCATAAGTATATGATTTACAATATAACATATGTAGGTACAAAGGTACAATGATTTATGATTTCCTATGAGAGTTTAAATTTATTTATATAACTCTTAATGATATAAACTAAATATACATTGGAATACATTGCTTGCATTTTTGTTTATAATTTGTCCATTCTTTATATAAATAAGATTCCTTTCAAAAGATGTTTAAACATAGTTAAGTAACGTACAATTTATGATTGTTGTCCATGTATTTCAATTTGGCCCCTTACTTAAAAAAATACGAATAGTTCTTGATAGCAAAAGACATTGTAATGGTTTGTTTTATATCAGGGAAGTGCAGATTACATATATTACTCCTGGAATTTCGGTAGACACATTGCGGGAGGAAATGCGTACAATATGTGGATTTGGTGCAGCAGGTCAAGATCAATTTACTATGAAGTGGGTTGACGACGAAGGGGATCCATGTAGGATTGCTTCGCAACAAGAACTGGACGAAGCATTGCGACTTTATGAATTAGAGAAGGACACTGAAATAACTATACATGGTAAGTAATAATGTTATGCCGATGCAAGTCTGTTTGTATTTCCTGTATAGAATTCCATCCGAATATTCTTTTCATACATTGTAATTTTAGCGATAATGCGTGTGACCATAATTGCTTGATACAGCTTTTATTTCGTTTCAACTTGATAGAGTATTCGACAAATTTGGATATACGATTCCCTACTTGTACTTTTATTCCTATGATTTGTAAATTAAGTAGTTTAAGAACACGCAAATAGTGGTATTTAAATATAGTTACAACTTTTGATCTCTTGTTCTGTACTTAACTGTATAGTTAAGTTACCTTGTACGTGTTCGTTTAAGATAGTTTTGCATTCAACATATTATTGTACTATACAATTTGTACGGTATCGTCAATTACAACGTTTGCGTTTCACCAATAACATTCAATTATTTATATAGTATATCAAGAATTACCACGTCAACTTTTCGACCGAGCTTTATCATGTACAAAAATTACTATACTGTTACCTGAATAATTAATAGCTCGGACAACCGCATTCGCGATTCGCGTTACATAATCGATAAGCATTAAAAATTTCACGCATCCCCCAAGAATCGTCTCATTTACGGGTAACGGTATTCCCGTGCCCCTATTATGTAGTATTTAACGGACTTGGTCGGAAAAGAAGGCAAACACACGAGTAAAAACCTAATAAAAGTGACCCTTAAAATTGAGAAGAAAAAAGGGGAGAGGGTGAGAAGATAGAAGAACGTAGTTAAGCAAAGCGCACGTGAAAAGGAGGGTGAGAGATTATGCGCGCACGAGAGAGACAGAGAGATGGGGAGAGGGGGAGAGAGAAAGGGTTGAAGTAGAGGGTAGGAAAAGAAAGGATGTTAACACAGAAAGGGGATAACGGAAGGAAATATCGAGGAAGAAGAATTAGAGCGAATAGGGATGTCCTACGAGCCAAGAGGGGCGAGGCAATGGGTGGAGGTGGAGGAGGAGGAGGAGGAGAAGGGGGTGGTCGGGGATAGGAAGTAACAGAGAGAACAGGGAAAAGGTTACGGGAAGGAAAAATATAGTCGGGCGGTTTGTTAAACAGAAATCAGTTCTGTTTTCGGCGTGACTTTATCCTAGCGTTTGCGCATTTCGCGGAGTAAAATTGGTCGGGTGGTGACGGCGGTTAATGAATACTGCAGCAGCAGCAGCAGTCGATATTCTTACGCGGACAGATTAGCTGGCGAGTTTCCTCGTGGAAATCCGGCGGAGAGGGCTGTTAAGGGCGGCGAGAACGCCCCGCACGTAGAAGCTAACTGGAAATCTCGTTGGGAAGGGAAAAGGGTGGATCGGCGGCGTGAAGAGGAGGGTAGGCAGGGAAGGCGGCCGGTTGATCATTCCCCGAGGTTCATCCGCGGAAGATATAACCGGGATAGCCCGGAGAGAATATATACAGCACGGTCGGGGCCGGGGCTTGTTTCAGTGCTCTGGGAACTCGTGTCGAGAGGTTGTGACGGTGTATCTTTAACAATCGCTGTTGTCGCTGGAGAGGTTGCAAAAGTGGCGATAAACCAGCATCGATCGCGCTGACTCGTCGCATTCTCAGCCGGGCTCCTGCAAGAGGTCGGCCACGGTGGAGAAGAGGCGAGGACAGAGGTGGTACGGGGCGAAAGAAGGAGAGGAAGGGAAAGACAACGGGCCGGAAAGAGAGAGATTGGGAGAGCGTGCGCACGTACCGCTGGGGAAGGAAAGTAGGGAAAACTGAGGGGGTGGGAGTTAGAGGGTGATAGCGAGCAAAAGACGGGAGCCAGTGGTGTACGGTTGTTGGCGGACGATATCAGACAGCCGGGATAATAGAGGAAGTCGAGAAAGATAAATACGGGTGAATTCGTCACGAAATGGCGTGGGGTTATTGGAGCGCAACGTCGGTCAGCGATAGGGGTCGATCACCCCGTCGGGAGAAGGATAAACAACAACCACAGACTTTGCATCAGCACCAACAGCAACAACAACAACAACAACAACAACAACAACCGTATCATCAGACGGAGACAGGGTTGTACGGTATTCAGCAGCAGATACAGGGCGAGATCGGCGTCGGGACGTCGTCCGGGCCCGGCGCTGGTGCCGTAGCCGAGGAACAACCCTGCAGCATGATGATTCAGGGTGGTTCCTTTTACTCTTATTCCGCGGCACTGGCTGCTGCGGCAGCGGCTGCGGCTGGCCGCAAGATTCCGCCAGCCGCGGAAGGACCTTCCACCTCGTCCACGGGGATTCAAGTTTTGCCGCGTGACCGACCGATTAAATCGAGCACCAGCACCTATCCACCCTCGCCCAGCAGCGATTCCGCCGAGTACGAGCAGCCGATCGCTGGAATCAGAGGCGAGTGCTCGCCCAATAACAGCCCCCGCGACGATATATTCCTGCAGCCGGGATCCTCGTCCTCCAGGATGAAGCTACTCTGCGACAAAGGTGTCGACGACACCTCGGAAGTCGATCTGGACGAAGTGATCGCCACGGAGATGATGTACGCGTCCACCAACCGAGCTATAGGGACTAATACGTGTCGTGTACATGGACCGTGTAATCCACCCCCGGATCCTGCTCCTTCCATGATCGACGATACCACCGGGTCCTCGCAGTTTTGGTTCAACGACATCACCTGGGGTAGGTCTCTCTCGACACCCTTCGCGCTTCATTAACCTGGTCGATTGATTCGTAACGAAGCACAGGTGCATCGACCGTCTCCGTTCCTCCCCCGTTCGCAGCTATTGTTTGTATAACCCTTTTCAATATTGCACGTTATTGCGCGTCGTTGTCTACACAGATTCATTCGCTCGGCTCAACCGTCCGGGATAAACACAATCTTCATTCGAACACAACGATAGATACGAATGCCTGGATGCAATTGCAAAATATTGATCGCGAAGAATAGCGTGCGTTTTTTCGGGATGGTGCGTGCTAACATGTGCGCTTATCTAATCATCTTCGCCTGACCCGATATTTTACGATTTCGGAAGGATCCGAGCGGATTTAACTTCGAATTCGCTGGGTTCGGATCGTCGATACGTTTTACTCGATTCCGCTTCGTTTGCTATTTCATGCGAAAACGTAAGATGCGCTTGGTCGGGTCGTCTCTCTGGTGTACTACGCGAGATCGATTATTAAAACAATGCTATATACATTTTCGAAGGTCAGACTAGACGAGTAACGGTATAAGGGATGAGAACAGGAATATGTGCCACGCGAAGTGGCACAGTAAGCTGCCGCTGTACCAGGAGTCAAGAGTTTTTGTTTGCTCTCGTTTGATCGTACCGATCGCTGGCCGACAGCCCGTAATTAACACCTCGCTGTCGTATTAATTCGCGACAAACAATGCCTATAGTAATACTCGCTGCACCGAAATCGTTTCACGAGCTGTTAGTGCGTATCGATTGTTGAACGCGCAGACCTTTTCGCGAAATCGCTTTTAGCATAATGCCCGCCGGATGTTCGAAAAGATAGACGTGTTGCAAACAAAATATCGATAAAATAATAAATATACAAGGTATCTCGTTTGACCGAAGAAACAAAGTATTTTCTAATCTCCGACGATTCGATTATATTACAACCGAAAGCTCGCCGATGCTGATAAGATACTGCCAAACAGAGTGGGATGATTTCTTTAATTTTGTGCCAGGTCTCTCGCCGATAGTTTCGATCGATTATTCGACCGCGAGCGAGATGTTCAAGCCGTAGATTGGTAACAACACTGCACCTATCCGTGCCCGCGAAGGCTCCTCGTCGATAAGCGATAACGTGATCGCATCGTTTCAATTCAATGTTACTCGTTATCGGGCAGCGTTTAATGATCAAGTCACTGAATAAAAGTGACAGTATAGGATACACCTATAGCGGCTAGGCAGCGACCTAGACAGAATATGCGACAAACAAACTGTTCAACGGAAACGAAAATTTGGTAGACCGCGAGTGTTGTTGGACAGTTGTTTCCGGTGCGCGATTTCCGTCTTCGACAATCGACGATCCGTTGTCTATGCTGTGCTGACGAAGGCGTCGCGTCGTTATGATGACGTTGTCGGTGATACACGATCTCCGTTAGTACCCGCCAAACTATTTCCATCCAACGTTTTAAGATCGATCCCTTGAAATTTCAATTCGAAACACCGGGAGGAGCACCGTTCCCGAGAGTGCGCCTTTCAAGTTTGAATCACAAACGCGCGGATCTCGCGAACGTGTACAACATTCCCGAGTGGATGTTCAAACGGACAATTGGAGTGTACGATTCGAGGCTGTTGATGATGAGAAAAAAAATGAGAAATTAGTGGTCGTCGCATGGATTTGCATGATTCTGCATGACTTTGCATGACTGAATTATTCATGAGCTATTCTTTTTTTCGTGCCTCGTAAACCCGAGTTTTCGATCAACCAAGGTGAACTACGATCGAATTAGACATGCCATTAACCCCTTGACGATGGAGAATACGTAACGTAAAGGCAACTGGGATGCCGGTGTTACGGTGCAAGTGATTGTTGCGTTGCAGTAATCGAGACTCATAGCGGAAACTACATGTTCCTAGACGACTCGATACGATTTTGTATCGCAACGTTCTTTTCATCGGCATCGATGCGAAAAGCAATACTTTTACGTCGGACAATATTGGCATAAAAATATTGTACATGAAGAGCGAGACCCTTATCTATCACTGATATCTGCGACATATGATAAACGCGGGGTCCGCATCGAATATGGCGCCCGGTATCAAGGGGTTGAAGAATTGTATCAAGCAGGGTATTTGAATTGACGAAATATGTATACCAGTTGAAACATTATGTTATCATTGAACTGGAAGCTCGCATATACATATAGTTGATTTACAAACGAATTCATACCATTCGCAGAACGTTTTCACATTTTAAACGCGGGCGCACAGGCCGCGGAGTGGTTGCAGTTTTATTGCAAAAATATGAGCGTGTGCGATTGGTAAAAACAAACGAAACAGTCAAGTTTACACACATTAAGATATAATAACATAAGTTTTACGATGTCTTTTGCTGTATCCTTCGTGAAACGTTCGTATACACACTGAACGCGCAAATATAATGGCTCACAAAAGTGTTCGTACACTTTTTGAAACGCAATAACTATTTTAAAACTGAGCTAAATGACTCGAATTTTCTTAGATGCTGAAATGCTGTTTTTTTTTTAAATTTTGTTATTACTTGGAATGATAAAAAAATTAAACTTTTTTATTCGAGCCTATAATGAAAATTTAAAAAATGTCTTTCGTAGATCTTGGTAACTTATGTGCAGATTGAAAATTTTATCGAAATCGGTTCACGTTGTTATGAGTTACAAGAAATTAAAGATCGTAGAAATCGTAGTTTTATCACGATTTTCACCAAAAACTGTAAGAAATCTGCAGATTTTAAAAAGCTCGAGTCTGGGTTAACCGATTCCGATCAAATTTTCAGCACGCATATAAGTTACCGAGATCTACGAAAGGTATTTTTTAAACTTTCGTTATAAGCTCAGATAAAAAAGATAAAAAAATAAGGGCTTTTAATTGTTTCTTTTCGTTCCAAGTAATAGCAAAATTAAAAAAGAAAGCTTCTTAGTCATCGTCTAGTAGACTAGTTCCTCTATTATTTAAAAAAAAATTCATGTCATTTAGTTTAGTTTTGGAAAATTTCTTGCGTTTTAAATGGTGTACGAATATTTTTGTGGGCCACCGTAGTTTGTTCTGTAATTGCTGGATTACAGAGGTGTTCATGCTATGACTGTTATATCGACACAAGCTTAGAAAAATACAAGTTGAAAAGAAAGCGCGCCGTTTCGTAATTACAATCGGAGATAGTCTAATCAGTTACAAATCGAATTATTCACCATTTTCCAAGAATTCAGATATCGTTAAGTTTCACTCGAACGAATCCGTAGAGTTGTAGCGAACGCGCGTTGTTGCAGAAAATGGTTCTCCACTGAAGAAAATTGTCCGTTTCTGTTCCAGTTTTTCCTAACGTCCCGCCTGCACCTGGAATGCCCTGTCAGGGAGAAGACAGTGAGTTTTTTCGTCGCAACAATAATCAAAAGTTTCTTGAACATATATGCGCACTCGCTCAGCATTCTCCCAATACGAATATACTAGCCAGCGAGTTATACGATTAGCGAGATACGTTCGTCTTTAAGTTTCTCAACGAGGATTGTACATAACGAATAATAAGTCTGGCCGACCGATTCACGTAAACTATAAACGATTACGATATCGTCTTTTGGTGTATTCGTTTCTTTTTCGTTGATCGACGCTTGTTTCTTTCTGTTCGACCGATTATTGCCGCATCAAGAGATTTCATACCGATCAATTTCTCATGGTGCACACCGACTGTTCTCGATGCATTTCGTTTTCCTTCCGTTTAATTTTCATCATGTACATACGATCCGTATCAGCAGGAAGAGCGAGGCACCGTTACACCGATATGTCGTTCGATCGCACCTTGCTAAACAGCCACGACCGATTTTAGAGCCCCCATTTGAATACCGCGGGCCCGTGCACGGGTCGTAGATGTTTTTCTCGTGTTTACAAATTCGCCAACTCGCTTGTCCCGTCCTTTGCCACGATTATGTTCAATAGAATAGGCAAGTCTTACTATGGAGCGACTCGGGCGAATCGCGGTTCTACTGCAGTTCTTTCGGTGCGGTATTCCAATGGATCCGTCTTTTGTCCCCGAGCATCCCGCGGCGCGTTCTCCTTTATCGTGCCTGCACCGAGAGGATCGTAAATAGAACTAATTAAAGGCATGCGAATTTTCGTGCACACGATCTCTCTCGAGGCCGGCGAGATCGTTGGCGGCCGCGCGCGGCCGTGTCGTAGAATAAATTCAATAGGGAGTATTAACGCGGTCGGCTAACGTATTAATTCCGGAACGAGGGACACCGCCCGCAGACATTGAAGACAGGATTCTGCTCTGTTCGTTTGTGATATTTATGTTTTTTCATTTTCCAAAGGAAGCATCTACAGACGCGGCGCACGTAGATGGAGGAAGCTGTACCGAGTGAATGGTCATATATTTCAGGCGAAACGTTTCAATCGGGTAAGCATCATATACTCATTCAATTACTGGCCCCACCCCGTCCCACCCCTCCGTCACCAAATCGCTTCCACACAGCCCTATATCTGTTCGCCCCCCCCCCCTGTACACACCCTCCGGATACACCATCCGCCCACGCTTTTCGCTGCTCTCGAATATAATTTCACACCATCTTTTTCCATTGTGGCTACGAACACACTGTTACCTGTTACACACCGCCGTTTCTCGAAGCGACCTTCTTGGGTCGGATAGATTTAATTCCTGATAAAAGGAACTTGCTGGCTAGTGGTAGAGAATTATTCTGTATTTAACGGTCCTAGTACCTGCCCGGTCTCTTCTTTGCTCCAGCCGAGGGGTAATGAGGGCGGTGTAAGTCGATTTTCACTTGGACGAGGGACGGATAAGAGCGAGGAGGACAGGAGAAGGGTTAATGCACGTACAGGGTGTGCTACCTAACACCGGAATCTGAAATGTGTGTCTCTGTTAATTTTAGTTACATGCTGAAAACTTTGTCAGAAAATGGGTTCTGTCGTGGCGGTTATTGTGATAACCAGGTCGATGCAAAAGTAAGTTTCGGTTTTCCTAACGGATAGTTTACAAAAATACCGAAATTACTTTTTCAACCACCCGGTGGATCGTGGATTTTTATTTAAAAGAAAAATTCTGTGCCTGAATTGTACAAAACAGAAGTTAATAATAAAAATATGTTCCTTCTCTGAATAGTTTTAATAGCGTAACAACGAGCAGAGATAAGGATAACGATTGAAATATTAACATCACTTTGCAGCGTGAAAAAGATAGTTCAACACCTCCAGAGAGAAATATGCCTCTGAGAAAATCCTCTGTGTCACAATGCTTGCTGTTCTAAAAAAAGAAAGACGTTTCTTGCCCTCAGAAAGTTTCCCATGTTATTAAAAACAACAGAGTTATTTGTAGGTAACAGTCTTAGGTAACTCACCCTATATAGGAAAAAAGCTTCCTGAGTGTTTGAGGAGAGACGGGGGGTGGAGAGAGGTGCGATAGGGGTTGTTGCGTTTAGATTGAGGGTGATGAAGAGGGGAAGATACTTCGGGAGAAAGAAGAGGAGAGGACGCGTAGAATTTACGGAAGAGGGGGTCGGGGGTAATTAAAGAAGTAATGGATAAAGGAGAGAGTCGGAGCGGAAGAGAAAAAGAAGATGACGAAGAGGAGGGTAGAATTAAGTCAGTAATTGTAATTAGACTTAGACGACTCTCCTTGACTTACACTACTCTCGTTCTGAGGGCTTCACAAGAAAAACGCGCCAATTGGGTCCGTATAACTTGCTCTCTTTGTTTAACTTCCGCAGCGAGCGTTTTGCGCGTTCTGCCAGGATCGGATTTGGGGACTAGGTCGACAGGGGTTCAAGTGCATCCAATGCAAGCTGTTGGTCCACAAGAAATGTCACAAAGTGGTGAGGAAGTCATGCTTGAGCGCGCAGCAGCAGCAACAACAGATACCAAGTATAGAGGCGCAGGCGATCGACAGGAACGGCGATCAACAATTGATGGATGTCGTTCAATGCAGTAACGTACCTCATGTCGAAGATGAGATCTCGGAGTCGCCGATCATCGAGGAGCACTCACGAAATCGTAAGAACGTCTTTGAGGGGGCTCTCTACAGTGACGGTAAAAGAGTTTCGGAAACATTTTTCCGGAAAACTATGAAGCACATCAATTCCAAATTCCATAGATTTCTCAACGTCTATTTGAAAAGTATGCAGTATTTTTTCAAGTAAAGATATTCATGAAGCTGTGAAGCAACGATACGAGAGCGACTATTGCAGTTTTATGCAACCTTTGTCGAAAGGAGAATTCTGTACGATACTGCCTGAGAATTAGAGCTTTCGACTTTTGTAAGAGAGGTGTATGGAATGCACTTCGTTTCAAAAGCGTAGCGAGTTGCAGTTTTCCAAATGTATGTCTTTGAATTATAAAATTGTAAAGAAATGTAAAAAAAGAAACATCGGTTTTTAGAATTGGTCACAGTAGGGAGCCCTCTGCACAATGCTGAGAACTGAGAGTCTGTAAATCCGATCGTAAATTATATTTAGTTCCTAATATTTATTACTTGTGATATATTTTTTATGAAAAGATCTACGAACTTGTTTGAAATGAACGTGTAATAAAATACATCAGATACTATTCCCGATTAAAAAAAGTATTTGGTCAAAGCAATAGCGAAAGATGCAGAATAAGAGAGTTGTCTACCATCGAGTAGAATATTAATGTTAAAATAAATAGCTTCAGTTATTAGTGAAATACGGAATAAAGAAGTAAAGCAGCGATTAGTGAAAATACTAAATCATCTTTGGAATTCTATGCCTCCTTTGATCGAGAAAATTAAAACTGTTCTCACACTTTCGTTTCGTTGAGATTTTCACGTTTCTCCTGTGAATACTTCATTATTTCATAGTTTGTAAATAGGTGAAAATATTAATCGTTTACTTACATGTTCCTCACGATATGACAAAATCTTTGTATCTACTCCTTTAATATACGTATAACTGATTATGTATACAATACACGACACAATATGTATGTATACATTATATACGTTTAAAATATATAATCTAAATAATTCCCGTACAAACAATGTCAACTCGTTCGATTGAATACTTTTTGCTAGGACTAGTATTGACTGTATCAGTAAGTACAGTTTCAACTTTTACGAAGACTAGGTGTACATCTCCTTGAAAATCTGAGTTAGCCAGACAATTATATGACTGTATACGATTGCAGGAACCGGAAGCGAAGAGAGGGAGGAATTGCCGCTGGATACGCTAAACGATGCAGACAACTCGAATGATATGCAGAGGCAATACTCACTAAATGATTTCGAACTGATTAAGGTAATCGGTCGTGGTTCCTACGCGAAAGTTTTGATGGTGGAACTGAAGCGTACGAAGAGGATCTACGCGATGAAAGTGATCAAGAAAGCTTTGGTGACCGACGATGAGGATATTGATTGGGTTCAAACGGAGAAACACGTCTTCGAAACTGCCTCAAATCACCCTTTTCTTGTGGGGTTACACTCATGCTTTCAGACCCCCTCGCGATTATTCTTCGTGATCGAGTTTGTACGGGGTGGTGATCTTATGTTCCACATGCAAAGACAACGTCGTCTTCCGGAAGAACATGCTCGGTTCTACGCAGCTGAGATTAGCCTCGCCTTAAACTTTTTACACGAGAAAGGTAAATATTTGCAAAGCGATATATAGTTACGTCGTTAAAAGAAAGATTAGAATCTACAGCTTTTCAGTACATTATGAAAAACATGCTTCCTCTGTGTTCATTCCATTTATAGAACAATATATAATTTCGATAAGTAACTACTTCAAAATGTTGTATTACTATAATTTTTGTTTGCAGGTATAATATACAGAGACTTGAAGTTAGATAATGTACTGCTTGATCACGAAGGACACGTTAAATTAACCGATTACGGAATGTGCAAAGAAGGCGTCCGAGAGGGTGACACAACTTCCACGTTTTGCGGCACTCCAAACTATATCGCACCCGAAATATTACAGGGTGATGATTATAGCTTCTCTGTAGATTGGTGGGCGCTTGGTGTACTTTTGTATGAAATGCTTGCAGGACGTAGCCCATTTGATGTCGCAGGCGCGTCGGAAAATCCCGATCAGAACACCGAAGACTATTTATTCCAAGTGATTTTAGAGAAAACCATTCGTATACCTAGGTCGTTGTCGGTTAAAGCAGCTTCTGTTCTTAAAGGTTTCCTTTGTAAAGATCCTGTTAGAAGACTGGGCTGTGGTAAAAGGCCAGCAGCTTTCCTTGATATAGTTGCGCATCCATTCTTCAAAGCAATTGATTGGGAAATGGTAATGATTAGAAAATACAGGACAAGTATATACAGCGTTAACGTTCAAAGCGTTTCGTATGCTCATAGTTTATTTCGTTCACAGTTGGAACAAAAGCAAGTTACACCGCCTTACAAGCCACGTTTAGATTCTGATCGTGACCTAGCCAACTTCCCACCGGAGTTTACGGATGAACCTGTTCATTTAACGCCAGATGATCCGTGAGTTTTGAATTCCAGATTATTTTATCGAATCATCTTGTGGTAGAGTATTACTGACAGAGATTTATTATGCTCCAGGAGGGTGATCGATAAAATTGATCAGAGTGAATTCGAAGGCTTCGAATATGTGAATCCGTTACTCATGTCTCTGGAGGACTGCGTGTGACAAGAACCGCTCGTTATTGTGCAGCGTCACAATCAATATCAACAGCAATTGCAGCCGTGTTACATGTATGAATTACAAGACAAACTTGCGATGCTCCGTATTGATCCTCTATTGAACATCAGCTCAAGAAATCGAGGTTATCATAACAATGTTTTTTTAATGACGTACTCCGAAGAGAATGAGAACGACAATAATTATAACGAATATCGGTTATCGCCACCTTTTCCATTCCGATACGAAAGTCCGATATGCTCCAGTTCTCTAAGTATCACTGATGTTACTTACGGCTCTAGCAATAACAATGAGATCATCAGCAACTATGATCAACACAATTACGATGATGAAGAAGATGAAAGTCCCAAGAAAGGACTCTTGAAGCAAATGTTTTGCCTTCCATTAAATTAAGCTAAATAAGGCTTGTTTAATATTACAAAATTGCCTCTAATCAATAGTTAATATAAATTTTGTAGATTGCAAGAGATTTGAAAACGTGTAACGACGTTGAAGTTTACAGAATCCTTATATTAAGTATTGAAAGAAAAAAAAGTACTTAATTTGCGCCACGTATTATACGATCATATTGAGACTCTTCTTTCACATGGTGCTGCAAGTAAACGTATTAATGGGTATTATTTTCAGCTATTTTTAGATGAGAAATGAATTAAAATGGAAAATGTACCTGACTGCTCGATTAATCTCGTAGATAATATGTCATTCCGTTATGCAGTCGTTCTATTAAATACTTACAAGCATTATACGATCCTATTATATCGCTTGCATGAACGTATTCACTGAAAACAATAGCAACAATATATTTCTAACAAACTAATATCTATTTAAGAAGAACACTGTATATTATAGATTAATTACGTTTTAAAAGAATACAGAAAACGTACGTATATTTCTAAAAGAACTAATTTTTTTTCTACATTTCTTTTCTCTTTTCTTTTTTATACAGACTGTTTGAATCTATAATATATAAATATATATGTATGTACATATATTAATAATAAATATATATATACATATATATACATATTACTCAACACTTTTAAAAGAGAAATGTTGATCACAATGTATATTAAAAAGAATTTTAATCACATCACATTATAAGCGTTATAAATTTTTTCAAATAATTTTGTTCATGAGTTACGTGCTCCAAGAACGTGAAAGTTACACAGTAAACAATTTTGATGCAGGACGCATTTCCGTATTGTTAAAATAAAAATAAATGATGACTACGAATCAAAAATTGCACAAAATAAGAAAATGTTTTTTCCTTAATAATTTAATCCAATGTTGTTACAGATTAAATTAAACGTTATAGGAATATATTCAACAATTTTTACAAAATATTTACATTGTAATAAAATAGAATAAATGTCTTCCACTACCATACCTTTTTGTACCCATTAGGAATTCCAAATGTTACTGGTTTTACACGTTAGAAAAGAAGTTACAATATTTGACAAATAATTTTATAAGAAATAATCACAGAAAGCATCTAATTTTGTGCAATTTAAACAATCGAATATATTTAAGTTACTTTTTAA